GCGCCGGCGTGCTGATCGCGGGCGTGCTGCTCCTCACCCTCATGTACAGGTGAGGCCCTCGCCCGCCGCACACTGGGCAGAGCTCCCCGGCCGCTGCGGGGAAGAGGGTGGGTGGCCACCCCGGCGCTGACACCTGCTCCCGGCTGCAGGCACAAGAGCAAGCAGGCGCTGCGCGACTACCAGAAGGTGCTGGTGCAGCTGCAGAACCTGGAGACCGGAGTGGGCGACCAGTGCCGCAAGGAGTTCACAGGTAAGGCGGGAGCGCTGGGCGCGGGCCTGGCGGGCCCGAGTCCACAGCGGCGGATTCTCGGCCGCAGACCTGATGACCGAGATGACAGACCTCAGCAGCGACCTGGAGGCCAGCGGGATCCCCTTCCTGGACTACCGCACGTATGCCGAGCGCGTCTTCTTCCCCGGGCAGGGCGCCTGCCCCCTGCAGCCAGCTCTCGGGGGGTCCGGGGAGGAGGGGCACCGGGCCCCCGTGCGCCGGGGCCTCGCGCAGCTCTCCAACCTGCTCAACAGCAAGCTCTTCCTCCTCACGGTGAGGGCCGCGGCGGGCGGGCGGGGTGGGCCCGCGGCTTCCTGCCCTGACTGCCTCCCGCGGCCCAGCTCATCCACACGCTGGAGGCGCAGCCCAGCTTCTCCCAGCGCGACCGCTGCCACGTGGCCTCGCTGCTGTCCCTGGCACTGCACGGCAAGCTGCAGTACCTGACCGACATCCTGACCACGCTGCTCGGTGACCTGGCGGCCCACTACGTGCACAGGAACCCCAAGCTCATGCTGCGCAGGTGGGCATCAAGCTGGTGGCGCTGCCCTGCCGCCAGGCACCTCTGTACTGAGCCACTGGCCTGAGGTTGGCGGGCCCAGCGCCCCGAGGGAAGCGACGCCCTGTCCCCTGCCCCTCGCACCCTCTCCCTGCAGGACAGAGACCATGGCGGAGAAGCTGCTCACCAACTGGCTGGCCATCTGCCTCTACGCCTTCCTGAGGGTAAGAGGCGCCAGGCGCCCTGGCCTCCCCATGCTCCCTTGTGTGGGCAGCTGCCCGTGACCTCACTGACCTTGGCCCAAACTCCCTCAGGAGCCTGGGGACAGGTGGGAGGGGACCGAAAGAATGGGAAGGGCGGGAATGGCTTTCTGGGCTGCCCCCCGCCCCGCTGATGCCAGCCGCCCTGATGGCTGCAGGAGGTGGCTGGTGAGCCGCTGTACATGCTGCTCCGGGCCATCCAGTGCCAGGTGGACAAGGGCCCTGTGGACGCTGTGACTGGCAAGGCAAGGCGGACCCTGAACGACAGCCGCCTGTTACGGGAAGACGTGGACTTCCGCCCCCTGACGCTCATGGTGCTGCCAGGTCCCGGGGCTGGTGGGGCCACGGGCAGCACCATGGCGCAGCGCGTGCCCACGCGGGTGCTGGACACGGACACCATCACCCAGGTCAAGGAGAAGGTGCTGGACCAAGTCTACAGGGGCACCCCCTTCTCCCAGAGGCCCTCAGTGCACACCCTGGACCTCGGTGAGAGCCCGCCGGGGGCCTCCCAGTCCTCGCTGCGTGTGATGCTCAGCTGTGCCCGGCCCCAGCGCGCCTCTGGAGAAGGCAGGCTGGGCTGACCCCTGTCTGGTCCCGCAGAGTGGCGCTCGGGGCTGGCTGGCCACCTAACCCTGTCGGATGAGGACCTGACCTCAGTGACGCACAACCGCTGGAAGAGACTCAACACCCTGCAGCACTATAAGGTGCGGGGTGTGCAGGGACAGGGCTGAGGGAGGCCCCCAGCTCGAACCTGCCGGGAAGGCGCCCAGCCTCTGCTTTCCTCCACTCCAGGTCCCGGATGGAGCCACAGTGGGGCTTATTCCCCAGCTGCCTAACGGAGGCGCCGTCTCCCAGAGCCGAGCCCCGAGCTGTGCCTCTGGGGAGAGTGAGTCCTCGGCCCGTGCCCTCACCTGGACCCGGGGGCCCCTAGCATGCCACCACCTGGCCTGGGTTCCCCGCCCTTGCCAGACACTACCCCAAAGTCGGCGCTGAGCCCAGGGCGGCGGGGGCCGCAGCGTGTCCTACTCGGGAAGCTCTGGGGTCACGGCCGTCCCCTCACGCCGCTCCTCCCCCGCTTGGCCCGGCGTCCCCACCTGCCCTGGTCTGTGGCTTCATGGGCCTCGGGTGTTGCAGGGCACTGCAGGGCAGGGGTGGAAGACTGAGGGCTGGCTTCCGTGCCGTCAGACACCCCCATGTTGGAGGATGGTGAGGAGGGCGGGGTGCGCCTCTGGCACCTGGTGAAAGGTGCTGAAGAGCCAGAAGGGGCCAAGACACGGCGCAGCAGCCTACGGGAGCGGGAGCGGCAGCGGGCCAAGGCCATCCCGGAGATCTACCTCACACGCCTGCTCTCCATGAAGGTCAGCGTGGCCAGGGAGGCGGGCTGTCAGGAGAGCTCACCCGGGGGCCCACACTGAGCTGGGGAGAGGGCCTGGCTCTGGAGAGACAGAGGCGTGGCCCAGCTGCTGACCGTGCCCCACAGCCCTCCTCCCTCTCCTAGGGCACACTGCAGAAATTCGTGGACGACACCTTCCAGGCCATCCTCAGTGTGAACCGGCCTGTGCCCCTTGCCGTGAAGTACCTGTTCGACTTCCTGGATGAGCTGGCAGAGAAGCATGGCATCGAGGACCCCGAGACCCTGCACATTTGGAAAACGAACAGGTCTGGCACCTCACCGCCCTGCGCAGGGCGACCGGAACGAGCGGCAGCGTCGGGCAGGAAGCAGGCTGGCGGCGTCACCCACCCTGGCCTTCTGCTCCCGATCTCGCCTGCACTCGGGACAGCTCCCCTCGGAACCCGGGGCTGGGCCCAGCTTGGGAGCACAAGCCAGGCAGAGCCCCATGACGCGGCGGCCTGTGTCCCCAGCCTGCTGCTGCGCTTCTGGGTGAACACCCTGAAGAACCCACAGCTCATCTTCGACGTGCGGGTGTCAGACAACGTGGACGCCGCGCTGGCTGTTATCGCGCAGACCTTCATCGACTCCTGCACCATCTCCGAGCACAAAGTGGGCCGGGTGAGGGCGGGGCGCCGCGGGCGGGGCTCCGGGAGGGGCCAGGAGGGCACAGCTGGCAGGGCGCGGCTGCG